AGAACTATATAACTTTAGACAACCTTGAAGTTACATGAACGTATAAATTATAATAATCCCCCGATGCCTTGAGGGTCAGACCATCAGCCTGACAGTATCCGTCTGAAACATTTGGCAACATGCATTCCCCACCATCATGACTGTTAAAGCAACAGAATTCTTCCTAAGTATATACTATGTGCACTTTAAATACTTATACACTATTTACTCTTACCTATTGTTTTCTTTTTATTCACTGCATTGTCTGCCTTATGCCTTTTCTGCAAGGAAACAAAACATTTCATTACACCTCATTACACTTCATTAACAATTCCAAAACCATTAGAGCTAAAAGCACAACAAACTCCAAGACACATTGGGTAATTTTTGCCTTCGTGTTTGTTTTGTTGTGGTTTAAAAAAAAAACAAAAACAAGAAAACCCACACAAATCATCCAAATAGGAAAGATTTTTAAAAGAACATAATGCAACTTTTAAATAAGAGTCCTGATATTGGAATTCAGGATCAAACCTGGATCAATGGCAAAAAAATAAAATGTCACCAACACCATTTCTTTTGGAAGGAAAACAAAAGAAACAATGAGGAACACCGTATTTAGAGGGCAGTTATTCATGAGAGCTTCACAAACCAGAATGACCACTTTACAATAAACAGTAGCCAAGTAAGTTGGGGCAGATTTTCTCTGAAATAGTCTGCTCTGTGCTCAAGCTGCTTGCCCTTCCCACACCTCCCTCCCACCCCACCCCCCAAGACCATCTAGAAAGACCACACTTGTGTTAGGACTCTACAGTGTCTTCCTAACAAAAGCATAAATAGGCAAGTTTGAAGAGGTAGAAACAAGTGTCTTGACTACTACTGTTTCCTTGTTCACCATCTGAAATGAAAATACTTCTTCCATAATGAATATCCTTATTTATCTGTGTGCTACAGAAATTCTAGTCAAGTTCAGAGCTTTCAAAGTCAAAAGGATATTTTGCTGCTGTTGAGCAATGACTCAATACACTTCAGTGATACATAGCCTTATGGCATTTTATAGCTTTTTCTGAAACATTTGGTCTTTAGCACAGCCTTCCCCATAATCATACTCACATAGTCTTCTATGATTTCTTTGATGCCAGCAACTGTCAAAATAAATAGCAATGGCACCAAGGTGGTATATCTTCCTGTTGGAGAGACATCTGGAATTTGCTGTGAACAGAGAGGAAAAAAAACTTCTTATATTTGTATGTAAAATTAATTTCTAGTAAATTTGTAATTTGATGCAAAGCTCTCAGAACAGAGAGCACAAAACTTTGATTTCTGCCTGGCTGACATCCAATTTCATTGGGCCAACTAGCCAACAAGGTCTCAGTACGTTTGAAGAAACTATACCATAAAGTTAGAAGAAAGAATAAAAGGCATATGCAACAACTTCATTTCTCCTCTCTTCACAAGAAAAGGATTCAAATTATGCAATTCACATAGCAACAGTCATAATCTGGACTACCTTCAGTTTTACAAGAAGGCACAAATTCTTTTCTCGCTACAGTCAATAGCTCCATGTATTAAGAACAAAAAGATATTGACTTAACAAAATACATTGAAAAAAGTCTCGTCTTTCAATTTCAAGTACATACCTCATTAATATTGCTATTAGAATATGTTTAATTGTCTTTCAATTTCAAGTACATACCTTATTAATATTGCTATTAGAATATGTTTAAGAATTTCTTTGCAGTTAAGCAAAACAACTGAAACAACTTGTATTGCATTACCATTTCATTTTATAAACAAGGCAAAATAAAATAATACCTGCAGTAAGGCAATGAAGAGGAAGAAAGCATTTGCAGCTTTTCTTATCTGCTCATACAGGAATCGAGGTAGAAATGTCACCACACTGTACTTGGCTGTGCTGCAAGTTAGAAGATTTTTATCTTAGTATTTCATTGCAATATCATACAGAGATCATGACCATAAAATTCAAAGTAGGCTTCACAAGGTAGTGTTAGAAAGCAGTTCAACGATAAAGTGAAAACATATTTTGCATATGGAGGAAATAAGTTGCATCTGTTATGATAAAGAGCTGTACCAAAAGAGGTATCACACAGACCCAGAAGGCTGACAGTCCCACTTGAATCACTGGTACCTCTATTATTGGATCAATCAGAGATTTTACTATCCAAACTTCAGCACCATGAACAGCCAATCTTTCATCTGCATTCCAAGCACTTGATCAGGTGCTTAACCCTCATTAAAACATGGAATTTAAATATGGGGGAGGCAGAGCTGAATGTGAGAGGAACTAGAAATTCTGCAGTGCCTTTTTTAAAATGCCTCATCTTCCAGTTCAGAATCACCCTACACTCAGCTATGAATAGTCCTCCAGAACAATACACACTTTTTCAGACTGATGTTTTATGGCTTTTCCCCTATTTTATAGTGTATTTAAATGTTGTAACTAAAATATAACTACTTTCTTCCACCTTAAAACAAAAGCATACTGCACTAACTAGCCTTAATCACCTATGCAATTTCTTGTCATTTTCATGTCAAATCCATGATGGGCATAAATACAACTTCAGAAAAAAAGTGTCCAAGATGACAAGATGATTTTAACCATTCCATTTTTAAATGAGTTGAGCAACCACCCCATGCTGTTGAATTACCGAAATCAACCTAAAAGAGATTAATACTCCATCTCGCAAAGTCCGCACTCTCTGAACAAATTAGTTACAACCTAATTATCTACATGTCTACTTGAGACAGAGCAAGGAAACTCGCCACGCTGCAGAACCTGTCTGAGCTTTACAAGTGACCAAGTCTCTCCAGTAACACAGTGTTCCACTCTATAATGAAAAAACATACACTGAGAGTAGGAAGAACAACTCTGCCTTACTTTTCTCTACTCCATTAGCATATAACCTTCCCCCACTGTGACTCAGCATGAGGATGAGTTGGAGTTTTAAGAACTTGCAGCTCAGTATGCCCCGTGAAGGCCAGACAACCAGTGACAGGAGTTCTGAAGCATCATTTTGTTTGTCTTGTTTTGAGGTTTTGGTTGGTTTGTTTCTTAAAAGAAGTCCTGCATTTTCAAGGAACTGCAAACACAAAGATATTCCTCTCAAGATAAAGAAAGAACAATTGTTTCCCAACTGCTATTTTACTGAAGTTCCCTAGAAGTACCAAGAGCACCTTTACCTTAAGCCTGGTCCTATCTTTGCCACCAATAAGCCTTCCACATCAACTGAAATCCATAGCATTACTATTCAGAAATCATGAAGGACAAGTATAATCAAATCCTTTAGCTACATGATCTGCCTTTCACAATGGACTGCTATGTATAAAACTCTTACTACAACCTTGATCCACAAGCAGCTAAGTTCAGTGGGGCTCTCTTATCTATGTACAAGGTTAAAAAACTACATTCTCCAAGGCAACTTATTTGCTTTAACTGTTTTCTTTTCCCTCTTATCTTCCCCATCTCAAATTCCAAGCCATCTAATGAGACATTGCTGCATCTTCCAGAATCAAACAGTAACAAGACACAACATGGCACAATTTCTTATATAAAACTTGATTTTGAACAGTAGAGTAGAATCTGTAGGGCAAGATCAATTAAAAAACAATTAAGAAACATCACCTAATTTCATCTTCAAGCAATTACAAACCCCTACTACTTTTCATGCAAATCAGATATTACTTTAACTAGCTGTCTTACAGAAGGAAACATGACAGTATTTCTAGTACTTCAGCCAACAGACTTTCTACTGCTACTCCTGCTTAGCAGAATCACGTATTCCAACACTCAGTGTGATATTTTACAGACATCTCAGGTGGTTGGATTTCACACAGATCATGTTAACTAAGCCAGCTGAGTGAAATCATGTATCCAGATTTAAAGCACATAACATAGTCCATTTACTGTATAAATGAAGCTACTTCCTTGATATGATATTAATTTCTTCCAACTATATTTTGTTTTAAGCCACTTTTGCTTGGTCTCATGTGTAATAACCTTCCTTTAATACAGAACATAATTAAACACAGATCTCAGAATTACCTTGTGACTTAAAAGTATGGGTTAATCAACAATTTATACCTAAAAGGGAACTCCCCAAGCAGTACCAATTAGAAATAAAGCAGTGGCAGATTTTATTATACCAGAAGAGTATTCCCCTGGCTATCACACTGCTATGACTATACTAAAGCAAGAATTTGCCTCACTGCAACCAAGCCAAAACGTTCATTAACAACATTCTATCACTTACCAACTTTACAGCTAACTGGTCCAAACGTTATTCTTACTCTAACAATTGTGTTATGCCAACACAGTAAGGCTCTTTTGAAAGAGCTTTTTACATGCTAAGTCACTTCATGTATTCTGTTGCTTAAGCAACATGACAGATGCCTACAGAAATGAGGCACAGCTCTAATTAAGGACAGACACATTCAGCTGTTACCAGACAGACCAGGTACAGTCAGCATGTGTATACATAAAAAGCAAGTACATGTTACTATTCAAAAAGGAAACTTCTTGTGAAAAGCTAACTAACACTCTAAGCAGGGCAGGAGCATTTAATGGATTTGGCTCTTTAAAGGTTAAATAAAATACTTAGAAATAAATTTTAAAATACTTAGAAAGAAATTCAAAAACTTTGTGCCCCTCCCAACAGACAGCTGCATTGTAGATGACTTCAGGATAACCAACGCTCAGAAAAGTTAAAATCTACAGGTGAACAGTAGAAAAATCAGTCATCTCACTCAGAGCATAGTTTTAGTCACTAAAGATAAGTATCTGCATGGGTTAGCTCTCTGACCAGTCCCCATCAGAGACATCTTATCTTCCAAGTGTCTGGTGCCCAACTCCAAGAAAACTATGTCTGCAGCCCAGGGAACAGGTTGTGGCAGGGGAGGAGGGGAGCACATGGAGGAAAGCAAATAACAAACTGTTTTTTCCTAAAGCAACAGCTGTTACCTATGCAAACCTTGCTTAACTACACAAGTTTAATGTTTAAACAGGTATGCAACATTAGAAGAGATGTCTCTCATATATCTGTGACTTAATTCATGCAAGTTATATTTCAAGTTATGCCACTCTGTGAGTCAGGACAAATAGTACCAGGCAAATGAGTCTGGATACGCATGAGTACAGCTGAAAGAGTCCAGGCGCCACTCTTTCTAAGCCAGATTCTAAGCAGAGATTTCCCTCAAAGCAATCACTCTACAATTTGGAAAAAGTTAGGGTCATTTGCATACTTTAACTCACTACCATATTACTGAAGTGCTAAGGATTACTTATTTGTTTTAATAACATTGAAATGACAAGTAGCAAACAGTGCACTGAGAGACTCGGTGTAATCTTCCTGTATAGTTCCTCCACTTACTCACATGTAATTTTCACTTGACCTCTCCCATCATTGCTCTTTCCTCTGTACTCAAAAACTTTTTATAAAGTCAAGTTTTACTTTACTGAATCATCCTTGAAGAGGCAAAGGCTGTCAGTAATAGAGGCAGAACAGTTACTTCCTTGGGACACGTGCTGGCAACTTGCAGCTGAATACAGCTCTGCACTTTTCTAGTCAGCCCTCCAAAGCACTTCCACCCCTTCCTTTAGATTGACAACTCTGAGATGGGCTTCACCTTCAGGATAATCATGATTAAGGAAACAGGACCTCCTTGAGACACATGGTTCCTTTTCTAGGGGTGATAAGTACAAGAAGCTGTCCTTTGCTAGGCAGCTTTCACCCACAGCAATTCAATGCTACAGTTGGCATACTTGAAATACTCTCCAAGAGCTCAAGAATGAGTATCACTTAATATTGGTGCTTTTAATACACATCAATTTGCAGGAACAATTACTAAGAAAGCCAGGCACAGATATCTGAACCACAGCAAAGGGACTGGGTAATTAAAATGAATGTTAGAGACTTGAACTCTTCTCTCAGCAAACAGACTTTGTTTCCATTAACACGTACAAAAGATCAGATGCTCTGTAACAGAGAAGGACAAGAAAAAAAACCCAAACAAACCACAAAACAGAAACCCCAAGAAGATCTGCTTGAACTGAGGGCTCAAATATTGTCCTCAGTGGAACAGTGTGTGCGTGCTAAGGTCCTGCCAGGCACATGACACTTCACAGCAAGACTGACATCAGTATCTGAGGTTCTGCTATAGCTCTCAAGTACAGAAGCAGTATGACACAAGCTACCTCCAGACAGTCACCACTGCTGTGGGAGGCACAGCAACAAACTTCACGTATTTCAAGTGATATTAACAGAAAAAACAACAGGCAATTGTTACACTGAGTACAGAGAAAGCTCATTCATATAAACATCTTGCTGGCAATGGTGCCATGCAGAACACTGAGAAGGTCGTTCCAAACCCAAGTATCATGAACCAGGTTCTCAGCAGTAGCACGTCTGATAGTGAAAGGTCATCTACCTCCTCACACATATGGAAGATTGTGCATTTTCATCATGAAACTTGCTCAAGAGATATAAAAATCAACTGCTTATAAATTCCCACAAAAATATGTCATGAAGGTTTGCAAGGAATAATTACATATATGCCTAAGCAATGATTATTTGTTGACTGGAAATAACCAGGGCTGGTTTATTACAAAAGACAGCAATTTCTGCCTGAACCGATGCAGCTCTCAATACAAAGTGCATTGCTCTGTCAGATGAATTCTTGAAACTATAGTCCTTATAGAGGAAGACTCCAGCCAGCAAGGGTTTCACTGCTCTGTTTATGGCCTGTCCACTTCTGTCAGCCAAGAAAAGAGTATGTGGTGCTTAAATACCCTTGACACTGAGGGTCAGGTCAGAACTAAGGAGTGTGAAAGGAGAAAGACTTGTTCTTGCATAGTAAAAAACTGCAATGACTTGAATACCACAAGATATTATTGCT